CCATGTTTCAAACGACGAATAGTGAAGTGCTGCTAAAAAACTCAGCGCGGAATACACTCAAAAACACTTTTAAAAACGCTCACCTAATTAAAAACATATATAAACAATAGTCTTTTTTCTCATTTTGATGTAGATAAACCGGTTATATTCTCTTGTAGGCTTAAGACGCAGGTGATTTCCCAAGAATAGCGTCATTTTATTTTCGTCAGTATACGTGTAAAGTTAAAATTTTGCCAGCTTCGAATGCAGTACTCTTTTTCTGTTGGTGATATTGATAAACTTCAAATTGAAGAAGAAGAGAGAAACAAAAGGGTAGGAAATTTTTCCCATCTGTTACGCTCCCAAAGCGAGACGAAGTATAATTTTTTCACTGAAACTGCTACAGTTTTACTTAATGTAGTTTAAACAGCACCAATGGGGAATGCTGATTTCTCCAAGCAATTTTTGCTGGAACGAAAAACAAAACTTCACACTCTTTCCACATTTGTTAATTTCATAATAATATCTTCAATGAAGAGAAAAAAAATTAGATTTGAAACGAATTTTGAAATTTATCGTCATGAAGAAACAAATTGTACCTTTGAGCTGAAAACCATTGTTACACAAAACACAGGAGTATGTTTTTTTCGCACAATTACGTCGCACGAAAACTCACTAGATTACATTCACTTTAGCTAATGGGGCGATTTCATTACGAAAGTGCATTCAATCGAACTAATGCAGTATAGGGCTCAAAGTCAGTCTAAAAGCAGTTTTAAAAGGCACAGTTGTCCATTTGGAAAGGAACCGATTGAACTTAAAGAGGATGAATTATACTCACAACGTATGGTTAATGGTTTAAAGAAAAAGGATAACAGCTATCAGCTATTCATGAGAAACTTATTTCGACAAAAACTGATCAATGAGACGTTTCATTCGGCTTTTCATATGTCGGGAAAATCCCATACGATTGGCGATTTCACTGTTTCGCGACCCTCCCAGATTTTCCCAACATATCGAGAACGGGGATCTCTACGATTTCGAATTTTCATGCGTAAAAATTTGGAACGGTCGGGAAAGAATGAAATCTCCGGTTGTTTGGGATTTTTCCTGATTCTTCAAAACAAGGCCTACGAAACGAAGAGAAAAAACGAGTGGTTTGGTTTTTAATGACAGAAACTGAACATCTAAAACATAAGGTTTTCTAAGAATCCAGACATTTGCATTTAAGAATTAATCGGAAATCATTTGGAAGGATAAATAGGACAGGAACAAAGGGATATAGATGAGATGTCATTTGGTATTTTCTTCAGGAGGTTATTCAGTAAACCACAATCGAACTCCTTTCGAGTGCTTTATCGAGAGTAGATCAAAATTAAGCATGAAACGAGACATTAGGTTTCGAAATCTTTTTTTTTCTACGGTCATTCATTATCAGTTCGTGCTACACTTATTTTGTCGTAATAAAGGATTTTTTACCTTCTTTTGCTTAATAATATCATGCCGTTACTTTGCAAATATGATATATTGAAAAAGTGCTAAAAGAACAGAATTAAATTCCGTTCTTAACTTTTTAAAAGTTTTCTCTAAAACACGTAGAATAACTAACAATCTTTTTGATTTCGTGTAAGTTGGTATACGTGCATTGTCACAATTTCTTGGGTTTTGTTTCTTGATTTTTTTTTTTAGCGCTCCTTGATTACCAGCTTTTCATTAACACCAATTCTATCCAGCGGAAAGGATATTTTAGAAATTCAAATTTCCATGTTTATCTTCAGTTGCTCTTTCGATGATCCATGTAATGAAATAAAATTCTCAAGAGAATTCCTTAAAGCTATTCAGCAAGATAAAATATATATAGTCACAGGAGTAACTGCAAACCCTTTATAAGATTCTTTAGTGCTACGTTTTTTCCATCGGCCCATAGACCGATAGGACAAGAGTGCTTACTGCCTCCCCCCTGCTAAGGGATCAACCCTTATGAATACACAGAAAGTGGCACCGTTTTCACTGCCTCCAAATCTGAGCTAGTGATGCAACACAGGATATTCCTTAATAGTTCAGAGGAGGTTTGCTATCAATCGGTTAATACGAGGTTGCTTCGTAATTTGTTTTCCACGAAATAATGTTGTTTCAACCTGTGTTTGTAGGTTTGCTTGCACTACTTTAAACTTTATGGACCAGTTGCAAAGGCGACGAGATATGACGTCATGAGTCGTTAAAATACGTTTTGAACGCGTGTGCCATTATGAAAAACGGCGGCATGGCGATATGATCGAAAAGCCACCGAAACCGACTGAAAGGTAAGGAAGATAAAATTTTCCGGCAAAAGAGCCTTGGGGAACCATCGTTCCTCGTCTTGAACGTAGAAGGGTTGGTTAGTGTTGTCATGGTGCGAAAACCACTAAATTGTGAACATCAGGTAGGCCTGATTTTTGTTGGTCACTTGTCAATACCAATTACGAAACATTTTCCCTTACTCCCTATCGACAGACCTGTGCTGAAATGGAAAAAGGAAAAACTTGGTGGCCATCTCCTAACTGGACTTCAAACGATTCGTCACGCATGGGCCGTAATCAGACTGAAGCAATGGACCCTGTTTACGTGTTCACGCCCGCTGGAAACACTGCTAAACATGTGCTCTGCTTAGTTTTGTCAGTCATTGGCACAGTAGGGTTCGTTGGAAACTGTTCGCTGTTTTACTTTCTTTGGCAGAAGAAAACCACAAGTCCAATCCAAAAGAGTCGTTTCGTGCGCAGTTTGAACTTGTATATGAGGAGTTTATCCCTCTCTGATCTCCTTTCTTGTTCCATGTCGCTACCCTTTCTATGCCTTCAAATTCTTTTCGATCTTATGCAGAGTGGGTGGCTGTGCAAGATGGTTCGCTATTTGAATTTCGTGTTTCCCGCTATTACGATAAATAACCTGGTTGTTATCAGTTTAGCGAAATATTTATCAACTCGTAAGAATCCTTACACGCTTGGAGTCACCGCAGTCCGTAGGATGATCATTGGGGCTTGGATTTTAGGAATAGCCACGATGTTACTTCCAGCAGCCACTTTCGACGGAGTAGCAGTGCGTCTAAATGACAGTCATTTTACAGTGATCTGCCGTTACAATCAGAACTTCTACCCCTTTCAGATAACCGCCGTTATTTTCCCATTACAATACGTCATTCCTGGCATTTTCATAACATATGTCAACGCGTGTTTGCTGAAGACTCTGTGGATTAGGACTGGAAGACAAATTCGTCATGCAAAGACCAGTGCCTTCAAAGCAAAACTTACAGTTACCAGAATCAGAGCAACTTACCTTCTAATTTCTCTTACATTTGCCTTTATATGCCCGTATTTTGTCTACATAGGCAACACTGCATACACCCAGATAATGAAACCGCAGCGCTCATTTTCAACAGATTACATTGTGCGTTATGTGGGTGGCAGTATTGGGGCATATTTTAGCAGTGCCTTAAACTTCATCATATACTTTGTCCAAATTAAGGATTTTCGCGCATATCTAAGAAACAACTTCCGTTCGCGGTGCATCAGGATCAACACGTAGTAAAGTAAACAGTTTGCTCCGTCGAGACAGAACAACCTGCAGGAAATTGAAAAATGTCAAGTAAAGAGGGTGACGTGCATGAAAATTTAAATGTCCTGTGTCCTGTGACAATAGTTTCTTTACTTCAGTCGCCTTCACAGTGGCTTCACGTTGGTATTTTTGACAAGTCTTTACCTTAAATGTATGACGATCCCTACTGATATGAAGAAAAAAGAAATGATTGTAGGCTGTTCGTAAGATTTGAGTGTTACGCGATAGTCTTTTGGTACTTAGGTTAAGTAATTGTGCGCGCATACGGGACGAAAGCTCACTGTAGAAGGACATTTCTTTTATTAAAACAAAAAATCTTATAAGAACAAAAAATGGAATGTTCCGTACAGCTGCTTGTAATTCAGCCCAAACCCTCTGTCGATATGCCTAGCTTATTGATGCTGAATACACGCAAGAAAAGACCATTTTCTTTCGCTGCTCGTTTCAGACATTATCTTTGTTAGGTTTTGCCTCTCTTAATTATGTCTAAAATATGTTAAGGTTTATTAGTCTTATTTTTGGAGTGCAAGAGTTCTTATTTAATACTTCCTTCGTTATTTGAGCATTGTTCATGAAAAGATTGTTCGATGACATGTCAAAACGATCGAATTGTTAGAACTTCATTCGAAAGCGGATGTTACAACAAGAACAACTTAGATATTGAATGCATGATCAAGAATATACTCTTACAATATATGAAAGCGATTTGTCGGCCGAAGAGCCCGACAAATGTTTGAGGTAAAGTTGAATAATTAAGCGGATATTTTGAGAGTGAATTTCCTCTCCATCGAAATAAATGAAAAATATATAGCAAATTCAGCCAAAAGGTGAAACGAATAGCAACCAAAGATAAGGAAAAGGAAAAAAAATCTAATCTACAGCTGTTAGACTGAACCTGAAAAAATGTGATTCTTAAAAATTGACAAAAAATTCAGTCTTGAAATACGAATGGCAGTATCAAGTCTTAGTTTTCCTAACCGAAAAAATATCCAAACCAAGCCCAGAGATTAATCTCAAATTAAAACTTTACTTAAAATTTTCCAGCTGGCCCAGGCGATAAAAATATAACCATCTTAGCCAGGAGGAAATGAGGAGGAGTGTGGGATTGCGTAAATCATGGAGCAAATGTTGTCTAAAATATGACATACAATTATGTCCTCGATCGGAAAAAGTAAAAAATTTTACTCAGATTTGCCAAAGCCGCTTTTGAACGTCAAGGCGTTTTTCCTTGACATTCACATAACATCTTCTGGCTAAGCTCATCGCGAAAAGACACGACAAATTGTGTATTCTAGAGAGTTTTAAATAGTTTTTGCGATAAGCAAGTTGCATCAGCATAAATAAAGCGACATAGTTTTACTTTTCACATCTGACTTTAAAGTGAATTTAATCGAAACAACTTAAAGACGAGTTTTTAAGCGAGACCAGCGTTTAGGAAGCATAAATTTAATTGTGTCGTTAGCAAGTGTACAAAATTTCCATAAAAACTATACTATTATTTCATTAGAACATTTTTATCAATTCAAAACACAACTCCTTATTCTATTGAGAGCTTGAAAACTCTTATCTTAAACTTTTTACGTTTAACGGATTTTATCCACTCGAACACGGTGCCTAAGATAATAACTTAAAAATTTGACCATAATTTTTTTACTCAATGATAATTCTCTTTAAACGATCCCACGATTATCAATATGTATATTTTGCAACGAAGCAAGCCCAACGCAGATGTGGAGGAAAGGAGTAGAAGTACATTCACCCAATCAATAAGAACAGCCAAATATCTTCCTTGTCCCAGTTTGAAGGTGGATGCGTTAATTCCTTTCGCTCTCTTGACCATCACACCCCAGTCTCATTCTATTACACAGGGGTGTTGTTTACTTTCTTTCCTCTAGGATCTGTAAGATTTCCTTGCATTTTTCTTGTGCAATTTCCAAAGAGGATTCCGCTTCGTGAAGAACCTACCGCGTAAAATAATGGTAATTTCAGTGGAATAAAGCGCATCTTCGACCACGAAAAGACAGGCTCACTTTTCCCCAAGTGGTTAAGTTTATTGTAATTTAATCTAACTTAGCCATTCTATGTTTCTTTATGCCTCTTGCTAACCGAGTTTCACCTGCTTACTGAAAGTTCCGGACTGAATATGGAATAAACGCGGTTCCGTAATTTTTAATGCAGACCAAGAAAACGAGGTTTTTAAGATATTCATCATCTGGGTTCAAAAAGAGGGGAAAGTTTTCAACTCAAACAAACTGTTGATTTCAGCGGGCCGTATAGCTGAAGTGACAAACTATAACGCACGCACTAACTGAGAGACACAATAGCAGTCTCTCTTAACCTGTGTGTTTGGAAATCACTTTGAGATGACTGTCAGTGACAATTTAATACTAATAAGTGCTGATGGTTGAGAGCGCATATTACTTACTTCTTTGTTAAAAGTTTCATCACTTATGTCCTCTAAGTTAATCTTCACGTTGTAGAATGCGCCCCACACGGCTGTCTCCAGACTTCGAGCACCAACCTATGAAGCAAAACATATAATAAATTCTCGTCAGATACTCCGTTCTGTTACGAGGGCACCTAAGTCCTGCCCTTATGTGCCACTCCTACGTTGTACCTCCAACAATGGTCACAGCCGGGGATTGTGAAACTTTGCTTTGTGTGTATTTCGACCAGGCCCATCTTAATGTGACAAAAGTTTGCATCTTGCTCTCATCTAACATTAAAAACGGGAAAAGGGGTTCCGCAAACTAAACTTTTATGTAGCCAGAAAGGGTAGCACTACTTTCAGTTTCGAGGAAGACATAGATATGCATAACTGTGCCATCCACTCAACCCCAATGTCCATTATTTCAAACGAAAAGTAAGATGAGAGTGACCAGAAAGGGCAGCTGGACATGCGTACATCCGCACTACTAGACATGTTCTCATACAAGTTTTTTACTCCCTACCTGCAGATCAGACTTGCTATTGATATTTCCAATTTTAGCAAGCTCTACCATCGGATTCCACACCTTGGTAGCTGTTTTGATAACATTAAGAGGGACCTGAACAGCGGATTTGAGCCCATCTTGCAATGCCTTCTCACGTCTGAAATACCACACAAAAATAACAACAATATTGCAGTTATAGGTCCAAAATTCATTCCTAAAAAACATGCTGCAAGTTTTTCATTGCTTGTACGGGTAGTAGCAAGATCTACAGGTGTAATAAGACACTAACAGCGGCATTTCAAAAGTCATAAAATTATCGAAAGACGCAAAGCAATAAGTACTGGTTGAGGAGCTTTAGAATATCGCCAGCAGATATCTATGCCAAACAGTCTGCAGCAACAATGGTGCTTGATGTTGATAAAGATAGTATCCAACATTAATATCAAGACCTTCGATCGCTCAGGGTCATGTCAATAGACGTTCGAGCCAAAAATATCAGGTTGAGTTGTTCGAAACACGATGATCTCTAGTGCAGGTTTAGTTGCCAAGGAAAGGCCAGTTTTATTATGCCGCTAGGTTAGGAACACAAAGAGTTGCACTTGTACTGAAAATGAGACCTCCTTCATTGTCTTCCCTTGCAGATGGGTCTTCCTCTTTTAACTGTTGGCATTTTTTGCAATGTCGTATCGATGATTTCAAATCAATGAATTCTAATAAAAGCTAATATAGGTAACACCAACAGTACAGAGCCTTTAAAATCTTACATTTCCTCTTCTTCAGGAGTAGTTTTTGAAAGTTTCTTCGCTTCCTGAAAAGTTGAAAATTCATCATAAATTTGAAGAAGGTAAATTCAAATATTTTAAACAGAAATACGATCCTCTCATAAAGAAACAATCATGTAGCTAGGCTGTTCCTCTTGTAGAAAACGATGAATTTTTGTCCCCATTATTGCAATTATTCAAGTATCCCCAACATTGCTCATTTAATTTCGGGAGTACATAACAGCTTTTGAGAGCGCACGAGAGCCGTCGAGAGCACACAAGAGCGGTCGAGTACAAACGAGTACAGCCAAGGATACGACTTGTAAAAGAGCGCGAACATAATATAAATTCAAATTTACCATGAATCCACTGAATGCATTGGTGTCCGCATCAATCATTGGAATAAAATCAAACATTGCTTGTCTCAGTGGAGGAATAAGTGTCCTCATCTGTGAATCCAACGCTTCGAATTTCTTGTTTCCGTACGATAACCAGCCAACCATGGTCGCCAGTGCAGCACCCTGGCAAAAACAAATAAACAAACAAATTCAAACAATAAATTTTAAACAACAAAGAAGAGCCTCTGGGATCAGTAAGAAATATGCCCTTTCCCGACTTTACCCTTTAAGTTAAAGTTGAATGTTAACATAAGCAGGGAGTCGAGGCCATCGAAAAGCTGGCTCTACCAAGAATCAGTGTGAACCTTATCAGTGCGATTTCAACTGAATTGCTGTAACTATCATCAATGTCGCGCCACGTTTTTCAATTTTGCCCGGTTCGAATTGCCTTGATTATAACAAACACTAATATGTTTAAAAAGTATTTGGCAGCTACTTTTCATTAATAAACCAAAGCATGTCTCAATACTCCAACGATCTTCAGTTCTTTAGTTGTGATTGGGACTCACAATCTTACGCGCATCTTTTCTCCTTCAGTTGTTCTCCTTGACCACGCTGTCCGAAAAATCTCAAGCAATTTACATTCCTCTACCAAGGTCCTAAAATTTGGAACTCTCTTCCTGTTTCAGGCACTCGTTCATCAAATCTTTTTAGCTCTAAGACGAGTTTTTTACTTTTTCTTACTTTAATTCACTTAAATAAACACTGAATTGGCCGAGCGGCACATTCGCAGCACTTGTTCTTCATTAAATATATTGTTGTAAGTGAGGAGGCCTCCCCATAAACCCGGTGGCTTCCTAGGTCTGCTCGCCTTCTAAAGGCAGATAAACGATGATGATGAGAATGATGACTCTTTAGATTTCAGCTCCATCAGTAGCGCTGACCATGAAGTAATGGAAGACAGGAGAGGAAGATTATGCCCTGTTTTCTCAGGATGAAACAGGAATTAACTTAATAATACATTCAATCGACCAATCACTGTTTGCAAGACGTACCATAGCAGCAATTGCCGCAGATGCGGATCCTCCCCCTGGAGCTGATGATCGAGATCCTAAGCTGTAGATAAACTGTCGGAAAGGCATCGACACGAGAGGTCCATCTTCTACATCACCAACCATGTATCTGACAGTAGATTTAAATGACGAATGCGATTAGGCGAAAGAGAAGGATTCAACACTGTGCCAAAAACACGCGGCTCAGTGACTCAGTTTATTGATGGGATTCAAGGAACGGAATGCAATTGGTGTACTAAACCAAAAACTGTACCTCCCTTAGAACAACTCACAAAGCACCTTACATACTTACACACCGTATAAAGCTCACCCCTCGTTTTCGCTTTCATTTTCACCCTTCAATCAATGTAAGTAATACCCAATAAGCCGTCGTGTTTCCTATTACTGTTATAACAGTTTTATCAATTGCAACCAACATGTCCACTCAAAAACACGCGGTTCTTCATGTGCGTATTTCACAAATTGTACTCACTCGATTATTCTTGTTTTAGGATCAAATGGAGTGATTGAGTTCAATCCTAGTCTCTCTATCACCTATAAATGGCAAAAAAATATTTCAAGGCATATAAAAATGAACACTATGCATCATTAAACGAGATGCAAATTGGAGGTAGGTTTTCTGCAATCCAGTAATTATAAAATTGCTTATGGTTTGAAGACCTTCCCCTAAACCTTGCCTACACTAGCTTTTGTATTAATTAGGATGTGGTGATTTTTTACAGCGTTTTGATTGTGTAGGATTCTGTTTTCACTACAAAACCGGTTCCAAACTGTCTACTTTAGCCCAAGATAGGCCAATTGTAAATACCAGTCCAAAGGGCAAGCTGGATTTCAATTTTACCTCCCACAAGCTCCGCCTTCATATCAAATTTCAAAATATCATGTTTAGCTACCTACCAAACGAATTTTTTGATCTTCACCTACAATAAAAAGATTTTCTTTCTGAATGTAGAAGTCAGCTGTCAATAACATGGCTTCCAGAGGAACAAGACCCACAATCTGAGATCCACAAACAGCAAGCTTCAGTTCCTACAAAGAAATGACAATACCCCTTTGTAATTAATTCAATCTAACTTACTTTGTAGTGAGAACAAGTTGGTTCTAAAATTGTCTGCTGTTCAAAATTTCTTTTTTAGATATTGTAAACTCTTAATTACAAGTAGTTATGATTATATTGCGACTTCTGGTGAGATGGACCTTTCCACCTGTTTGGGATTGCCCAATTTTCTTTAACCACAAAAGGCAAAACAAACTAACAAACAAATAAAAATACAAACAAAAAACTTGAAAGAAACGAATAAGAAATGAAAGGAGCCCACTTTCAATAATCACAGTTATTCACTTCAGACCACTGGATAATTATCAAGTTATAAATGATGTTCTTCAGTGAATGACAAAGGCGTACTTGGAGAAAAGGAACTCTAAGTGCTTTAAATAGGAGTCTAACCTAAGACCTCCTGATTAGTTCTTCAAATGCTCTACCACTGAGCTACTGGTAATAAGAGACTTGTGGTTGGCTAGGCTGTTTAACTACGTCCATCATGACACACTACCTACATACTGCTAGGTGAATAATGTTGAATGTGATGCTTTTGCATAAAGAAGATGGTAAATTTGAAGCCTGGTTTTTCAGGTGAAAGATGATGTTATTTAGTGAATTAAACAGGCAATAGTTGGAGAAAAAGAACACCAGTGCTCCCAATAGTAGCCAAACCTAGGACCTTCTGATTAGTACTTTGGGTACTTCACCACTGAGCTATAGGTCAGAAACTCATAATGAGTTCCCTTGTGACAAACTTCCTGCATACTGATAGCATAGGATCATTAGATAAATATCGCCTCCATTTCAGCTTTTTTTTTTAGTATTCTATGGTCAATAATTTTCACAGTGTCATGAAACTTTAAAGATAATGTCAGTGCCACATTAACAGGATCAAAAAACAACTGATTGCACCAGTCCATACCCTTGCATCATTCACACATTCTTCAAAGGCAGTGTGCATACCAGCTTGACGATAGTCCAGAAGATTTAAAGACACTTGTGCTATATTTGCTTCTTCCAAATACCAGCCCATGCCTTGGCATTCAGAAAGGCGACCTGGCTGTTGTGAATAAGAGAAACATTCAAAAGTTGAACATTTATCTGGTAATGTTTCACTTTTTCATTTCATTTCTCTTGCCCAACAAAGAATATACTGTTTTTCATTGTTTGTATCTCCAAACTTAAAGCTCAGCTCTTTGACTCAGAGTCATAAAATCAGAGCCATAGTAATCACAACAGTCAATATGCATTTGTCAAAGACAACGCTTACCAATCTAATCATTGTGAATGTGACATGTACATCTTAAACAGGTTATCAGGTATTCTTCAGAATGTTTCAATTTGCAAGTATCACCTCTGCTCTGTCATTCTGTCAATATTTTTGCATGATTACACTGCTGAAGCATACGCATAGCTAAGGGGTGGGGATCCTGGGGTGTTCCTCTCTCCTTGTGAGCCTTTTTTTTAGCAAAAAACCTACAATATTCAGATGGCAAACACTGGAGAGCCCTTTGTTCAACACAGTGTGATCCCCCTTCCCATCACTCATTTGAAAAATCCTGGCTACACCTGTGAAGAAGGCCTAGTCTTCAAAGATATTTCAGAAGTTCCCTCATACTGCCAATATACCGCTTTGTAAAACTCAGTCAGATAAGTCATGATGAAGAATGATGTAATGTCTTATCTTATTTGATCAAAAACCATTAGTGGTCTTTTAATGAAATCTAAACCTAGCCACAGCTGTTCGAGAAGAATAGGCACATTTTCAAAATGATAAAATGGCTGGTTCACAAATCCTGTTTAATTAAGCTCCTAATTCACATTTAAATAAGAAAATTTTTCTTGTGGATGTCAAAAGATCTATCATCTTTAATCACGATTAAAGAATTAAAAAAGTCAATTGAAATCACTATTCATGAGAAAAAAAAATTGCCCAATCACACTTCACATAAAAAGTATAGGGGGGACCCACATTTCAGTCTTAAATTAAGTTACAATGACTGTGAACAATCAGAACAATCTCATTAACAAAGGTGAATGAGATGTAGATGAACTCATTGTAATTCATAACTGCAACTGTGCTCAGGCATCAAATGACAGAAAGTACAGTCTGTAAGTTAAGTAAAATCAAAATTAAATGGAAAAAAATCTCACATAATTTTCACCTGATCGGGACCTCTGCCTTGTGTCCTCAGATTCAGTGCCAGTCGGTGAGCTTGCTCTTTTGTTCCCAAAATGTTAATATTGTAAGCAATCAAGAACTTCCTTGCTCCTGCAATGGTAGCTCCCCAGGTGGGAAGGAACTCAACTGGACCAAAGTCTGGCTTCCACTCTGGTTTTTTAATCTATTGGATGAAATATGACTTGAGTTCATTTTTCATTAGCTCCCATGAGTGACACAGTAATTTATTCCCCAAAGATCTCATTAAAAATGTATTTGAGATCTGATTGGTTCATTCAGGAACTAAGATACGTAAAGTATCATGTCCATTTTCAATTGGTGAAGTAGGTTTTTAAATTGGGATGTCTTATCAATACAATATCAAGCAGAAAAAAATTATCCAAACTACTATCAAAAGAATTGAATGGCAATGGTAAGGTGAATTACTAATAAGATCTTGGGAGTGGAAGAGTTTAATACAGGTGGTGCAATTTTCTGGTTGCCTTCAATTTCATAATTTCCTACAGGGTCAACTTTTTCTCAGACACATCTCAAAATTACTCAAGAAGCTCTAAGAAACATTGTATATAGCATAATAGAAAACTAGAAATGAATGCAAAAAAATTAAAATTTTAAGCCTCAGTTCCCCTTTAATGGACAGATAAACTCTTGCATCATACATAGAACACAAAGGCTTGATATAATAACTATACAAATATGACTTTTTTTCCTAAGATGGCTCATAGACATACAAGTCAGTCAAAAGGTTACATCATTTTACCCATAAAAATATTTCTTACAATAATCTAGTTCAGAGTTACATGTATACTATTTAATATACAGTGGGATAGTTTAGATCTTATTTTAGGATATAAGCACAGTGTAACATTTCATAGGCTCATAGACATACAAGTCAGTCAAAAGGTTACATCATTTTACCCATAAAAATATTTCTTACAATAATCTAGTTCAGAGTTACATGTATACTATTTAATATACAGTGGGATAGTTTAGATCTTATTTTAAGATATAAGCACAGTGTAACATTTCAAGTTGTAAGGTGGAGTTACCTTTTCAGCAAGTCCTTCATACTCCCCTGCCCTAATTTGAGGGACAGTTTTTCGATGTTCTGTATTAGACGCATATCCATACAAATATACTAAAAGGAAATAATCAAAAACTTTCTTAGTGAGGTTTCCTTCCAGCAAATCAAGTCTTTCAAATTTACTTTGTTTTCTGATTTTCTGTTCTCACTTTATCAACCCTTATTTTTTTACCCCTAAAAGTGACTTAGCAATAATTTCTTCTTGTAATATCACCCCTGAATAACACATTGTAAAGGTCATGAGAATGAAGGAAATGATCAACAACTAAAGAATCTCTTGATTGTTAAACAAATTCCCCTTATCAGCACCTTACAAAATTTGTGTAGAACATTTTGGAAATCATTAGACATGTTCAGGTTTATATTCAGTGTACATTCACAGCTATACAACTTTGACTTCAAAATTTAAGAGTTGATTGACAATTTGCTCATAGCAACTATTGTTATCAAAACTATCATTAACAATCCATCTCAGGCAACTCACAGTATATCTCATAATATCAATTTGTTATAGAAATTTTGAGATACCTGGTATTCCAAGCTCTATAGCTGCTCTCTCTCCAAATACTTTTGCACACTGAACACAGTCATCCATAGTTACACCCTGGACAGGAATAAAGGGGCAGACATCTAAGGCACCAAGCCTTTTGTGTTCTCCTGGAAATAAAAGTGCTTCTATTTTAAGATAACAGGAAACTCCTAATCATGATAAAATAATATAAATTGTAACAAGTTTAGTCCTGTGAGAGCCAATATTTGTCAACATCACCAAAAGTTATCCATTTCCTGTTGAAATAGAATAAATGAGAGTATTCATACTTCCCCTTGACAAGCTTCAAGCTCAACAAAGGTCTCCCTTGACCCCCTCCCCCATTCCAGAATTTTGCCATATTTCTAAGACAGATTTCCTGACAGTTCGCCCCTTAGGTAGCTACATGTTTCACCACTCCTCCTCCACTACTCCCTTCCCCCTCCTCACTCTTATAAAGTTGCTTGACAGGTTTTACCTGTGAGAGAGAGATCACAAAGAAAACATGTGCAATTTCAGATTGTATGTGCAACAAATAGAATTCAAATGGCACTTGCTGATACTTTAAGAAATATTTAAATTGCATAGAGAATTTTGAAAATTATTACATCCAGTAAACTAGTATCAGATTGTAATGGTCATTGATAGAAAAGGCGAGGTTTGTCTATAAACCTCATTAATTATACATACCTGTATCTATGATTGTGAGCGAGTTTATTTGGACCTAAAACAATCTCACTCTGTAAATGTATGCAATATATTCTACAAGCATCAATTCAAGATTGTAGGATCAATGTCACTTTATTTTTTAAACATTTTCTCAATTAATCTGGACAGGAAATGAAGAAACTCTTAATATGACTTGCTACAATATAGAAATAATTTTCAACCCTTTAATTCCCAAGATATGATTGTCAATTCTCCCCTTTAGCTGCTGCACATCTGTAAATTAGTGGGAAGAAATGGGTATCACATTAAGATATAAACTTTTACCTGATAAGTTTGAGTATTCTTATTGCCTGCTTGTTGAATTATGTATGGATATTATAGGGAGAAGTTGCTTGTTAATCACTTCTGGGAGTTAAGCGTTCACGCGATCATTTTTTGACACTTCATACTCAAAATTAATAATTAATATTCGCTTTATATTCATGATAAAAAAAAACTTAAACCAAACAAATAGCAGTACCTTGGTGACTTGTCATGTCAATCAACTGCATTGCCATTCTTGCTCCATTCAAAGCTCCTTCCACCACACTCTCAGGCGAACCGACAAATGTGTAAACAGTCCTGTTTGTGGACACGCCTGGATCCACGTCAAGAAGTGAACAACCATCAACAGAAGCAATAGCTTGTGCTATGGCGTCGATCACCTCTTTGTTTCGTCCTTCGGAGAAATTTGGAACACATTCAACGATACGAGCCATAATTTCTTTGTTTACAACACTTGCGTCGATGTTGATGAAGACTAAGTCGAGCCGAGTGTCACGAAACGCTTTTATCCAGGCGTTATTCGGTTATTCGTGACGCGTAATAGTGTCTGACGTCGGCCTGGGTATGAGGTCGTTTGAAAAGGAGGAATGGCGTTGGACTCCATCCAAACGTTCAAGTATCAATTCAGTTGAAGATGCTTACTCCCGGCTGTATTTCACGGATAAAAACCGTTGCAGGCAGAGATGAAATGCAGGAAGTATTTACGGTGAAAGTCTTGGACATCTTCAGATACATTGTTGACAGGAGCTTTCCAATTCTAGACCCTGATTCTACTGATGCTTTCGACATTGTCATTACTGATGGTCGTTACAAGACGAAATGCTTGTTGTCAACCTCTTTAAATTCGCTGGTTTACGAGAACAAACTGCGAGAAAACTCTGTTGTGACTGTCACCGAATGCAGTTCTTTGATCGACGAAGAATCGTTGGAACAAGTGCCTTTCGTCATTCTTCAAAGTATTCAAATTTTAAATTTGGCCTCAGAGAATTGTGATGTAGTCCGAGAGGAAATCCAATTTTGCGAAGATGCAGCACCTAACGAAAAGCAAGAAATACCACTGGCAGCTTCTCGCGGTTACTATTTGCCGTTATGGAACGACGAAGACTGCTTTGGAGAGAGGTGGTTTAGTGCTCCAGATTTGCAGCCTGTGAACCCTATAACCAATGCAATCACAATTCATGATCTTAATATGTTTTGGAAAGCTCTTCCGCGTCCATTTCCAGCACTTATTGGGAGAGTGGTTAGCAAAACTAGGCTGAATCACTACGGAAAAGCTTCGGACGAGAAGAGAAGGTATCCCTATCAAGCGTACCTTGAACTTGAGGATCGCACTGCGACGGTTTCTGTTTGCATTTGGAGTTCGTTTTGCGTGCTTTTGTATAACTATCTACAAGTAGGAGACATTGTGGCCCTCTTGAATTACCGTATAAACCGAAGGTTCAATCAAAGAAGTAACGCAGTCTACAATACAAGTGCTTCCACGAGCATCGAGATATCTGTGAATCCTACTAACCCAACAGCAGAAGTATATAAACTGGCACCGAACGAGCTTGGACCAGGATGGAGGTTACCTGGTGTACCCTATAGGTGAGAAATGTTTAAAACTAGGTGGAAAAAGAAATTATAAAATACTCTTTGAAATTTTTTTTCATCATGACTTTTTCTTTGATCTGTTAGGTTTTTTTTGCAGCAGTGCGATATTCATTAAACATGCCTCTAATGTCGATGGTTGGCCAAATCTTTTGGAATAGTCGGTTGAAATCTCAACCAAGACTGCAGCTAGTTGTTTGTGAGAGGCTCCGTCAACAATCAGTCAACTATAAATCAGATATCAGTGGACTGTTGGTCAACTAATCGTCAACACTATCCACAAAACACATCATTCATCATAGTTTATTGTTAATTCTTGTATTGGTAACAACATAACAAACTGATAAATGTGTTTGTGTATGATTGGCAGGAAATTTATTCTGTTTACATCCAGCCACTGCAACAATCCAATGCCCAGAGATAAGCAATTTTTTTGTTTCTGATGAGTTTCTTGCAGATTTATTGAACGGAGGTCACTTGCAAACTACTGTTCAGGCTTAATATGCGATGTTGTGGGAGTTGTGATGTTTGTCAGCCGAGACAGCAGAAAAAGAAAGGGGAACAAGTCGTCTTTCTGGACCAGTAAATGGGTGCACCTGCTAGATGGTAAGAGGATGCAAGGCAGTCTCTTTTGCTGTATTTGCCTAAGTTACTGTACATGTATGTTCACACTAGCTTGGTTACAAAATTTATAAAGAATTAGTTTTTCTTCCTTCTTTTTGTCAGAACTTCAGGTTGATTAGTACAGTTAGGTGTTTATAATTATAGACTAATTGGGGTTGTGTTCTACTGGAAATTGTCTGTTAAGGGTGACTACCTTTTATTGTTTAGCAACTTGTACAACTTGAATATTTTATTACTCAGTTGTTTCACAATCAAGGGAACCCTTTTTCCTTGTGTGATGTTACATGCTTTTATTTTTAAACTGGTAACAAGCAGGAAATGTATTATGACATAGTATGGAAGAGAACATTGTGTTGAACAAAATGAAAAAAGAATTGTGGAAATTGGTCACAATTTGGAAGAATTATGGATTATGTGGTAAAAAAATGCTCTATACACTTAAGAAGCAAAGGCAAAGGGCAAGAATTAAGGAAGACCCTGTCTGTCTTGCTGAAGCACATCGGAAAGATAGAGAAAGAAAGAAAGAAAGAAAAAGAGTAGACAGGCAAGGAAGGAGTACCTTGAGCACCACCATTTGTTAAGAAGGCAGAAAGAGAGAGAAAAAAGGCTTGAGATGAGAATGTTTAGGGAGAAGATAAAGGAATCCCAGGTAACACAGTAGGCCAAACCTGGTAGATCATCAGTGGTGAAGAAACGAGAAGCCAGAAAAAATGCTAATAAAAGGAAGCACATAAAAATATGAAACAAGAGGTTTGAGGAAATGGAAAAACAAAATGAGAAAACTGTTTTCACTGTATAGGATTGAATGTTTGTTGCTTTCATTGAATATTTTCCACTGCTTTTGTAGTTACATTATAGTTTTCCAAATAAATTTCTGTTGATGTAATTAAAATTGAAAGATAAATGTTTTTCTGTCACAAATAGTGCTCCTACATCGCTTACCATAGGGACATGTGAAAACTAGATACATTATAGACAAAATTTTACATGAAGAATGTATCAGAAATGAAGAATGTAGTGTCCATACCCCCCTTAAAGGTCATTCTAAAGTGACCTCTTTAAATGGAAGTAAGGCAGTTTGTGCAAAGATATTTCAGGTTGGTACACTCAGAGAATAAAGCTACCTACAGATTACTTTTATTTCTTGAAACATGAAATTTTATTTTTGACCCATTCCTGACCTCAAAAATGTACCCTTGATTGTGAAACAGCTGAATTTATTACATCACTACCCTTAGGCACTTAGTGGTTCTTCTTAAACCACAGCCTTGTTAAACTGTTAGAGACAGTACTCCAATCTGACACGATGATAACATTTCTTGTTTGACTGAGTAGTTCTCCATTTGTACTTTAGGTACAAGCTCTGTGCCATTTATTCTCCATCTGTATGCTTCCTCACAACCCCAAGTCTTTGATGCCATCACACCAGGAACGGTTCTCGTTTGTGCACGAATGCTGCTTAAAATTGAGGCTCAGGCATCGAAACACCGCAAATTATGCTACCTTACAACAACTAGAGAATCACAGGTTTACCTTTTGAGACAGCCATTGGATGTGAAAGACAAACCCTTTACTGAAGCAAAAGCTGTAAATGAAGTCATCAGATGGCGTCAAACTACAGATGCTAAACAGCTTCTCAGAAAGTCTTGTGTGGGTGGGTACTATGACTTTCCACCCCTCCCTGAGTCTCTTGATTTGTACAAGAGAACATTTTCTCCTGAGGCACCAATGGATCTAATAACCACAGTTAACCTTGGGTTTATTCTGAGAGAGGTTCATTTCAGAGAACACTTACGGCTGCACATTCAGGGCATAGTTGTAGCCCTGGAGTTTGTTCCTGCAGTAAGCAATGAAGAAAGTTCATGGCAGTCATCTGGGGAGATCAGCTGTTACCAGCTTTGTGAGACCTGCCACAGTGACAAAACCATCAGGGAATCCACTTTCACTGGCCAGTATGGTTAGTAGAAAACTATTATTTTGTTCACAAGTTTTTTTATCCTGTTCTGTTCAGCTTTTGACTCAAATCTATTATAATTAAAGTTATTGTGCAAGTTGGGAAAAGTGATGGCTCAAAGGACAGGGTACAGAAGAGATTGACACACTTTGGTTCAAGCACCAGATTGTGTTTTCACACGCAGCCCACTATTGCTCACATCATGCATTAGTCATTTTGTGAGAAAGACATGGGAATTTTAACAAAGAATGGTGTTTTGTTTCTTTTCTTTCAGATGAAAATGGATCAATTCCTTCAAGCAGCCAAACCAGCAGGTCTGGTTCTAATTCTTTAAAGATGAGAAAGAAGACATCCAATATAACACAAAATGGACGAGAGAAAAGTAAGTGATTAAACATTTAATTCAAATTATGAAACTCTGAAGAAGTTTGGACTAAAAGAGATTTAGTCAGACATGATTTTTCTTGCACATGCATCCCACCTGTGTTAAACTCATGAATTTGAATGCTAATTATGCTCTCTTTAGTTTTAATTATTAATTTATTAAAATATTAGAGTGGATTGATGTAAGCATTTTGTTTCTTTTGTGCTTAATGTGGAAGCACAAAATTCTCATAGTGAGTAACAAGGAGTGATACAGCTAAGTGTTCAAATCGTCATTTTTTGTTCAACGTGAAAATAGTGTTCCTGCAGTTCTGACAACACCAGACTCATAGAACTGTCTTTTGACAGTGGAAACAAGGGAAGTAAGGTCAAGTTTGTTCAGATAACATATTAAGGTTGGATATCTGCAAAGTCTCATTTCTCTACATTTTCTTGAATGGAGACTACTGGTAACTGGATATCCATAAACTCACTTTCCCCATCCCCAAAAAGAATCAACGAGGCTAAATTTCAGCCATTTTTTCTTGTCATTGTTTCACAAGCTCCTCCTCCCTTCAAATTAGCTTTTTTCCTAGCAAATTTGAAATAAGCGCTGCTGTCTATTTACCATCCTCTCTTTATTAGTGAATGCCCCATCTCTTTTTCCCTCTCTGTGAGGGTTCTAATGATTTATTGCAGCGCGAATACAGGTTTGTCCACATCACGCACATCTTTTAAACAGTACAAGAGATCAGTGGTTTTTCAGCAAACTTGTGGTCATGCCGTATCGAGATTTAGATGGAACACAAACTCTGTTATTGTGCTCATCAGTTTAATAAACCCCTTCCCCTTCCCCCTCGAAATAAATGCTTGGAACGCTCATCTATCGAACACAGTTATTATGTTACATGTGCGTGGAATGATATCATCGATTGCATCGACGCCTTTCTTGCACGTGGTGAAAACATTTTCTGTTGGCGTATGAAACTTCAATGTTTGACCAGCAAAACTTCAAAGTTTTCTTCCATTTGGGTTAAAGTTTACGTTGCCTGCTTACTTGAAAGGTTTTCGCGCTTGTTGATGGTTGTCGGCAATGGCGTCTGCTGGCAACGCACAAGGAAGAAATTTCAAATGTGTCGTATCCCTATCCACCGAATTACGAAATCAAGTGATAGATCTCGCACGGCTCGAAGTTTTGCTGTCAAAACACTTAAGTTTGATAGGCCAACAGAACCTGTCTGAATAACGTGCGTGCAGGGGTAGATACAATCGACGGTATAACAACTGCTTGTTTGATGGGCCAACAGAACCTGTCTGAATAACGTGCGTGGAGGGGTAGATACAATCGACGATATAACAACTTCTTGTTTATCTATAGCATGGGATTCGGAGATCGAAGACGATTCTGAGTATGAAGTTGAAGTTGATTCAGCCCCTTCAAGTAGTGAAATGAAAGCAAATTCAAGCAAAGAATATCACATCGTCACCAGAAGAATTAATCCTAGAAGGAAGTGCAAGAAAGGTGATTACTGATTCATTTTATCAAATATTAGAAAGTTCTTAATTCGAGGAACTCAACTGAGTTGTGAGTGATAAAATGCAAACCGAGGAAATGACATTAGCCAGTCAGAGGAAAGGAACAATTTTACAAGAGATAAAAACAAGCAAAATGCGTGAGGCAAACGTAAACGCGAATGATTATGTCGTTTTTGCATTGGTTTTGAATGATTGTTGTTAAAGACGCTATGAGTTTTCTGAACTTACTACATAGCGAAGTAAAGCAAAGCAGATCCATAGTACTTTCGACACGCTCTTGAAAATTGTTCTATCGCAGCATTTCTTTGTCCATGGGGAATTTACTAGTAAGCTTCGACTTTACTGATGTATCTAGCCCCAGTTCTCCTAGGTTGTGCGCAAACATTTCAAACATTTTTCTTCTTGCTTTAGTTTCAAATGGTGTTGTTCTATCCTTTCGTCCAGTTTACCGTGGTCCAAAGAACGTTCGAATCAAGACGAGATCGCGTAAAGTTGGTACTGAGAAAATGATCTCCAATCAGAAACGAAAAGCAAAAAAGCGACTCGCTCATCCGCCAAAAAAAGCAAGACGGAAAGCGGTGTCAACAAAGCAAGCGTCCACCAGTGTAAGTAGAGAGGGGGGAAAGGTTTCAAAAGGCATTGAGCGGTCAGGAAAGAGAGGTAAAAATTCGTCAAGTTCTTCTGCTTCTAGCGAAGTAGTTAAATACTACCCATTCAGAATTATGGATCAATCGTGGACGCACATAGCGTCTGACATACCTTTTCTTGGATTGTGGAACCCAAGCTTGCACGAAAACACTCTTCCAAAACTTTGCAGTCGAGGACTCACGGATGTCGAAGTAGTACCGACTGCTGATCGGCAAGACTTCGTGAACGCCGAAGGTCACTGGAGGCTTATGATAGCGGGTCTCAATCGACGAGCGATCGTAAATGCGATATTTTTACCCCAGTATTCCACGACAAAGGAGGATGCAAGTGGAGAAAGCGACGTTTTTGTGACCGCTTTGGCAACGGGAGCCTTTCCAAACAGATATCCTGTGGAAAGGCTCTTAAATTACGCTTACGAGGAATTAAAAGAGCGAAGAATGGTATTTGTGTTGGACTTGTACAGTCACGGGCAAGATAAAGTGGAAATCGTTATCAATAGAGCTTACTGACTGTGATAGTGTCATAAATTTAGAACGAGTTTAAATTGTCGAGCTAAGTGGACAACAGTGAGATTAAATTTTTTGTAAGAATTGCTGGTACTTTTATTCTTCACTAGGCCCAAAAAGGCTGTAATAAGGAAACCTTGCAGTTTTGGTCGCACTCTGCGTGAACAGGCCATAAGCTATCTCGACCGAAAGGTCCGCTTTGAAGCCTCAGCAAGGTCATTTTTGTCGTGTTCAATGGCAAGAAACTTCACCCTTTCAGTAGATCTCGCCAAACTTTCTGGAACCCCACGAAATGTTAAGGGAGAGGTAACTTGTCCAGGGAGGAGTAACAACATTCGTAATCATTTCGTGCTACTGAAACTGACCGGGACAAGCGACAGGATGAGCCAGTTGTCTGAAAGCTGTCCTTAGCATTATCTAGATGTATATACTTCCACTCCAGAAATCTTTCCCTTTTCGTTACCCCATTCGCACAGAAACTAATCATATCGCTCATGTTGCAAAATAACCTTCCATCACTCCTCCCCTGACCCTAACCCTAGCCCTCTCCGTGCCGATTTCAAAATTAAACACCAGGTGTATGTATTTTCTGATATGCCACGTCAAACAAACTTTATTACTCCCTGGGTTCATACAAAAACATTGTATTGTGTAAAAATTTCTGATTACAATGAAAGTTGAATATTGGAACAATGACAAAGATATGTTTACATAGACTACCCACTTCTTAAAAAGCTTTTATTTTGATTCGACGTCATAGCTCATATAAAAACTCAAGCGCAAAACAATTCAGCAACTGTTCTAAAAATACAAAGAATAACTCGAGGCGAAAATTCTCTAGTGTAAACATATCGTATGTTTTGACGTAGCAGCCCTTCGAAATCCTTCGAAACAAAACACATTTCATTTTACCAAAACTAATTCTTACAATTTACAATTGTTTGTTCGTGCATAAGTGGAGCGAATTAATCACATTTTTTCCGTATATATGCCGCCAAAATAGTCTTATCCACTGCTCGCATAATTCTTTAGTATGCGTGTTTCCGTCTTAAGCAGTTGATATCCTTGAAATCCTAGTAACAGTCCTTGGCTTTGTAACTTGCTGGTAATCAAGGCAGCAGTATTTATAAAGGACTTCTCTATACATCCATTAGGGAAATGTTATTCAAATACATCAGATTTTCCTGTAGCTAAGGATATGTATTTACCTTGAGGACTTAAAGAACTTCTTTCGCCATTAAGCGTCTGGAAATGCACGCTGCAGTCGCTTTTTGAGCGATACAGATGACGACTCTTGAGTTTTTGTTTTTGCTGACTTACGGGTAAAAATGAAAAGCTTTTGCGTCGACTTTTCACGTCCTCTTTAGAGTTCTTGTTAGAGGCTTTCTCCCAAAGAAAATCTGTAGAATTCCAAAGAAACTTTCTTTCTCTTGTTGGAGATAAGTCAACGTAAGATGCTTCATTACTTCCAGGAATTCCGTTCTTTTTTGTTTCGTCGCTATTTAGAGAATCTCCATCTCGAATTTTCTCTGGATTATCCTGAGCAATCAATAGATCTTGAGCAGAATAACAACTTTCGTGAATTCCAGGCATTTCTTTGCTTCTAATGGTAAATTCGCTTTCTGTTTTGCATTTAGCGCCATCACTCTCGTCAGCCAAAACTTCTGCGAGCGTGTTTATTCGTTCCAACGCCTTAGTAATTCCATTTACAGCAACATCGGGTATCTCATCGAACTGATTTTCACTTTCTGTACCTGCACGTCTTCGTTTGAACGTCAGTACTTCACTCTTCAGGCTCCTTCTTCCTCTCAGAACAGCTATAGAATCGTTTTCTTTCGAAGTTGCCTTGGCCAAGCAGCAAGGAAGCAATATGCTAAGGATTTGTTGGTAGCCTTGGCGGAATTCTTTCGTGCGGAGCGCGTATATCAAAGGATTCATCGCAGAATTCAAAAAACCCATCCAGTAGGCGGCGACGGAATAATATTTTGGCAGCTCATGCCCCACTAGAGTGGCGTAAATCGTAAGAACAGAGAATGGAGTCCAGCAGGCAAGGAATACAGCAAGTATTATAAACAGCGTTACTGTAATGCGTCTCTCGTTCAAGAAGGCTGATTTTTCCTCGCCAAAGGAATGACTTCGTACGCGTTTCGTATGAATCTTCACGGTTCGGAAAATTTTAAAGTACGAGAAATTCATTATTGCGAGCGGAATTACAAAGCCGCAAATGATAATGAACAGACAGTTTGTTAACTCACTGAGTTTGTTTTCACGAGGGACTTTGACAGAGCACTGTGTTCGCCCTTGAATATACTCGTAGCTGTTCCAACCGAGAATCGGTGTAAGCGCCGTCAGAAGTGCTTGCAGCCAAACCCAGGCAACTGCAATTAGTGTCGTCTTTCTGGTGAATATTTTTCTTTGAGTAGGTTGGACTACTCCGATGTACTTGTGAATGCTAATAGCCGTTAGGGTTAATATTGAAGTGAGTAGAAAGAACACATTCAGAAAACCGTTTAACTGACAAAGCGAGTAGCTAAAGATCCACTCTTGCGTCACTGCAGTTATCAAGGAGAAAGGCATGCACAAGAGGGCGACGAAGATATCTGTCAAGCTTAAATTTACGATAAACATATGAGTTTCTGTACGGCGCAACTCCCGTCGGCGATAAACCACTGCGATAACAAGAAAATTCCCAATGATTGCGAGCAACATGATGCAAAATAAGACCGAGGCTTCTAAAATGCCAATCCACTTCGGATCCATGTCACTTTCGGACCGGGTTGCATTTGCGGTAGTGCCGTTAGTATTGTTTTCCATGTCTGTCGCCTGTCGACCTTTCTGGAGATGTAATACTAAAATGCGAGGGTTTTGCTCTTAATTTGCGTCCCACGTCAATGTTTAATTAAGTTTCAAGGCAGTGACATTTGACTGAAGTATCAACGTAGACTAACTAAGTCAATTGGTCGAACACTCGGCTCTTTTGTCTGATTTGACAACAGGCGGTTTAGCGCGCGGAGCGAACCGGGTTTTTTGTTTGAACCTTCGAGAAACTTTGATAAATCTCATGTGACATTAAAACCCCCCAATCTGACAGATCTGTGTACACACTCCGTGAAAATATACGTGACAGCTGTATGCAAATGATTGTGTTAGAAACTAAACATTACTGGTTTAAGAATGAAATCCTCGATGATATGAATTCGTGGGTCGGGTATTTGAAAGGAAGAATTTAAGCTTCAAATCCATAAGGATCTCACGAAAATGTGGGTGAGTCATTGTCTGATTTTTGGAGGCTGTGAGTGGCAATTCACATTTCGAATGAATCCAATCTGTGCAGAAAAGAAGAAAAAAAGGAAAAAACGCCTACACTTATCGATTCCGATAATTGAATAATATGGGTAAAAAATAAATCTGCAAAACGGAACAATAGCATTGTTATCCCCCGAATTTCCGCCTGGGAGAGAAGTGCCTTATTAACTCGGCGAAATGTTTTCATTTTTCTTTTTTCCTGATCGATAAAGGCACCTGCTTAGCAACTTCGTTGTTAAACCAGTGAATCGGCTCATTCTCCAAGAGATCCAACACCTTAGAAAGCTCTTTACCCTCCCCTCGTACGACGAATCAGTCACAGGCCAGAGTAGAACAAATCAAACACAAAAGATGATACTTTATTGCTGTTTTCCATGATGATGACCGGATATGCCCTGAATGATTGGTAGCAATTGAGACTAGCGAACTCTAATTCGCCCAGAATTAAGCGCCTTTGAATATCTTAACTGACAGGGGAAATGTAGAGAGTTGATTTCGATGTTACAAAGTAAAACACAAACATCGACTGTCAGAGCGCAGGAAGGATGATCAAACGCGAAAACATTTTAAGAACTGACAATAATTTACTAGGCTGGGTAATTTCGTCTACGATCAGATACGATAGGACACTGATGGCAATACCTATTTTATCATTGCACTAATTTCACTTTCTTCATAGTGTTCTATCTATTTAAGATGTTTTATCTCATAGAAACCAGGTTTGTTGTGAAATGTTTCATGACAAACGAAATTACGAGGATTTGTCAGTGCTATTAGAAGAAAAAACAAAAGATCGCGAAGAAGATGCAAAAATATCAATCCGACAAATTAAAACAGCGTTAGAGATAAGTAATCTCAAAATCATATTACTACGGATGCGCTAGATGTCAAAGATGTGAAAATCCGATTGGAACTGACTTTTCTGAAAGAAAAATTATCTCCGATAGAGCACGAAAAATTTTTAATCAAATATTCGTGAAATCAAGGTCAATTTTGCTTTTTCACGATAACAGTACTTTCCACTTTTCTCTGCGATTGAGACTGACGCGTCATTTTGTCGCCGTTGTTAAATATCTTCAGCCCTTATTGATCAATTCTGGGCCGACAAATATTTAATTTTCAATTGCAAATAAGCCCTGTCAGAAGGAAAATGATCTCACAAGTCTCATTTCGATTCGACAAATACAAAGTAACATTGTAATTATCCAAGAGAAACTGAATTATCTTAATTGAATTGCTATAAGTTTCTCCTTTTCAAATAACGCTCGACATTTCAACCGAGATTGCGGCTTTGATTATACAGATTTCACGAGCCTGTCATTAAATATCGCCTGAAAATCTTGATTATTTTTCTTGTATGGCCAGTTTATTGGGGAAATTTTATTGCACTCCATCAAATCTAGGAAGGCTGACGCAAAAAAACGCTATTTCCCACTTTACGCCAACCGCAATTAGAACAGATTTAATACTGGGACTGTGCTGTGTCAGGCATTATACTCTCACACGAAAAGGTAATTATCATTCCGTGTCGCGGAGTGCGGAAACCATTCTGAGCACACACAGGAGAAGGTATGGGACGGTACGTCAATAATGGTAATAGGACTAAGAGGAGTCCAATTTGGTCTGTTATCGTACTGGGCCCAGTTGTATAAAGGGCGGATAATGCTATCCTACAAATATGAAATATGAGAACAGCGCACGCACATAACGCGTTCTGTCCACTTACACAGGCACGACGCGTTAACTGACCCTTTAACTGTCCTATTACACTGTCCAATGACAAGCACGACGCGTACACGGACCTATTAACGCTCATATCGGGCTGGTGATAATCAAAAGATTTTGTTACATTTTTCATTAATCATAATCATTACAAATTCCTAAAATGTTATTAGTGCATTTACAGCTTCATTTTTCACTTATCATGCTGTACAGTTGCAGTCGGACAGTGTTATCGGATAGAGTAATCGGACAGTTGGCTGTAATCGGACAGTTAAAGCAGCCAATCATACAAAGTCCAGTCAGCTAATCCACCAATCACAGAAATGATCAAAATAACCATAGCAACAACCACTTATCCAAAGTAAAACTGGGGAATTTACAAAATTGAGGAATTTTTAACTGAAGATATTGTCTTCACTGGAGATATTTTTTCTAGGTGTATTTATTTTTTTTGGAAATCGTAATGGTTATGATTAATTGGTAACAGGACTTCTTGTCGTCCAAGTCTGTAATCATACTCGTGATTAACAAACCGGACCTCCGCTTCGCAGTCGTCCGATTTTGTTAATCATTCGTATGATTACAGACCGACTGGACTCCACTTGGTCCTATCATAATTATTAATCCAAACTATAACACAGTTCTCGAAGGTGATTAGTAATCACCAGCTCAATTTGAGCACTAAGAGGACAGTGCACACGTCATGCCTGTGTAAGTACGCGTCGTGTGCGCGCCCTACGAGCTCGTGCAGATTTTATTGTCTTTGGAAAAATTCCCTCTTGCTTATTAACACAAAATTGCCAGAAATTGCACTTGAAATCATGTTCTTTCCTACACAAATCGGGCTGGGTATGATATTACGTTGGAGAATTTTTAGATTTCCGAATTTCCATTTTAAGTGTGCAAATTAAGTCTTAAAATTCGTAAATACTTCACTCGTTGCGCAAGAAAAATCCAAGGAGTTTTGCTTCACTTCCACAGTGCTTCAGCCGCAAATAAATGGGCTCAAATCTTCGGTGAAATCCTTAGTTAAAAAAATAGAAATCGTTCTCTAAGTCAGTCCACATAGCCTGGGAGCAGGCCGCTGTAAAGCGAGCGTTTCTTTGCTCTCCCGCTCCCCGGGAAGAGTTGAGACATCGAGAGGAGGTTTGCAGGGATCTGGCACTAATAGTGCTTCACTCCTGACAGACCTTTGCTCAGGAAATAAACGCTCGTGCCGAAGCGCTAATAATAAAGGCTTGATTGTACGCTATTGTAACAGTAGCATTTCCTTTCGCTTTTGTCATAATAGTTTCTTTGTTGTGTGATGTGACAATGGTGGTAGGGCAGTACTGTCGTGACGTTTTGCCTTAGGCAATGTCCATGATTGCTACGCTTGCCATTCTTTCTGAGCCAAATTGATTCATCAGGATAAGTACTTAGATTTCCCTTATGTTCATTCGAAATTGTCGATGATCTAGCTGTTTCCCTGACGATATTGGGGATTCCCATTTAGTCGTAAAACCGGAAGTAGCTTGAGTGTTACACACAAAAGGAATCATTCTGGCGTAAAATGAGCGGCTGTCAGTTCAGATTGTTCGCTCCAGTATATCAGTGCGCCACAAGCAATGACTTGACAGGGGTAAAGAAGAAGGAAAATGACCCCATTCGTACATTTTCGTTCGACTGTAAATTTTTCAAGATTTTAAAGAGCAATTTATTGTGAGTGCTTGATCTCAAATTCACTCTTCCGTGAGAATTTGTCCGCTTTCTGGCTGTTCACGCAAGCAGAACTACGCTTCGCGAATGAAATGGTCGCTCGTAGCAATGATTTATTCAACCAGGAGAAGATATGTGGTCGTGACGATTTTCTTCACCTCGGCGTTTTGGCTGATTGTAGAGTTGATACTACTTAGCTACACCAATGTCGAACTCTCTCAAGCAGATATAAATCAATTCCCTGATTCAAGGAGAACTGCTTCGATTACTTTCGAATCTTCAGAAGCTTCAATCGAAGAATTTAAATCTGTGTACGTAACGCTCATTCCCCCAAATCCTAGAGGACCAGGAGAAAGAGGAGAAGCAGTTCACAATGATCAGGATGACCCAGCTCAAATAAGCCAGGAAAAAGAGGGATATAAAAAGTATAGTTTCAATGAATTGGCAAGCAGTAAGATTTCGTTGGAAAGATCCATTCCTGATAATCGACCAGAGAAGTAAGTATCCAAGTTACTATTTGTATTAATGTTATTTCTATCACTAAGTAGTTTTGGAAAGTCCGCTCTCCGAGTGATTACATTTCTTAGTTTCCATTGCAGTTTTGACTCTTCCAGCGGCGAAGTCACTTCACAGCTTTGTGTTTATATGGCTCGCTCGGCCAAGAAATTGATGGCGGAATCAAATATTTATCAACCGGTTTTTACGGTGATAAAAGATCAAATAGCCGATTTTGAAAAGATGCATTATATTAACCTTAAGATAATTTGCCGTATTCGAATATTGTGGTGCTAATGTTGAAGTTAAAATATATTTTTGCGTTAAATGAATCTGGGGAAGTTTGTTATCGATTTGCAATATAAACAAGTTTGCCGTCCAACTCACTTTGCTGGTGGTTTTCACAGATCGAAGACAAAATACAAGAAAACAACAGGACGATGAAGAACGCGACGTAATTGAAACTCGTCTTATTCAGAAGCAAAGAAATTAGATAGCACTCCTTCACGAGCCTAGGAGTATCAATATTTCACTTTAAAAAAATCATGAGAGTCGATCTTCATTATTGCGCTTAAGCTTATGGCTCTTTGATATTTTACTAGCGTTGTTTCGAGTCTCATTTTTTAAGCGAAAATGTTTTTAAGCTTCATTTGACACACGGTTAACCGAGTTAAGTTGGATGTGAATGAAATCATTCCCTGCAGATTTTTGAAGCAGTAGTTTTCCAAACGAGGAATTGAAGGGAA